CTCATTGCTCCGGGTTCAGCAACACTATGAAACTTGGTCTTCAGGTCTTAACCTTGACGACAGACCCAGGGCAACAGGAGCCTTGATGCTACAGAGACTGTTCACTGTCTATTGTGGTCTATTTACCTATAACTTGTTGCCTGGAGGGGTGGGGGGAACCACCTCCTTGGACCCCAAAAGGTTTCTTTATGCCCACTGGGTTTTTTTTGTTTTCCTCTTCCCTGTGCACACATGGCCTACTGTTGCTGTACAATATTGCTAACTGCTATATAGTTCTGTAATGTGCAATGTGGCAGACTGTTATAATGGACACTATAGCAAATGAAAGTTTGGTTAAGATGTGTCCTGCTGTAGTTACAGAACTTTCAAGTGCAGCTGTGTTTTCCTGGGGTGACTATGTTTTCAGCTCTGATGTTGATGCACCTAGACTGTGCCTTCAGTGACTCAACCCTTTGGAAGCTGACCCATATTATATTGTGCTTAACAAAATGTATCGGAGGACATTGTTGTTGTCCTGTTCTCCCGAGATATGCAGGCATATGCTTAGAATGTCGCCTCAACAAAAGTTTCAGCTGAAACAGGCTGCACAAACAGAGCCCATATATACTTAAAGCCCATATAGCAACCCAGTGCTAAAGACTTGACTGTACACTACATACACAGTGAAGCATGAAAACATGGAGAGAGAAATCAAATCAGTCTAAGGCTACAGCTTCTTCGGCCAGCGCAGAGTAACGAATCAGAACTGCTTATAGAAAATGAGTGACTTCAAAAACATTGGTTCGATTTCCAAAATCCTGTATTTTATAATCGCCAGAACAATGGATTTTTTTTTTCTCTTGGAGAAGCCCGGAAATAAGGTGGTGGTGAATTTCCCTGCGACCCTCCTAGATGTTTTTGAGCATTCTTAAAAAGGATCCGCATATATAACCACCCCCTGACAATGATGGCTGATCCCACCCAGAAGAAAAACTGGTGCCATCTCCGTTCTGTCCCTGCGGCCTGGGTTCTGCAGGGCCTTGGCTGGTTGAACACTTTGAGAGCGTTGTGAGGGTTTGCAGGCGTTAACAAGGAAGGTGTCAAGGAAGGCACTTCCCTGTGTAGCAGGAGAGACCGCAGTGCCCCCCCAACTAGAGATCGCAGGCTTTCGTTTTGAAGTCAGTTTTCTGTTGTTTTTTTTGCTGGCAGACCTGGCAGGACTGCAGGGGGTGTGTTGGGACTTGGGAAATGAGGGAGCCTATTTGAGGAAACTAGGATCGCCTCCCTTCAGTTTAATCGTCTGGTCTTAAGCAGCGTTACATAACCCTTTGTAACGGCGGGACCCCTGGGCCGGCTCCCTCCTAATGATTTCTCGTGCGGCTGCCGATTGTAGCCGAAGGCAGCGCCAGCCCCTCGGGGGGGGGGAGGCCACACCGCCCCGGCTGGGAGAGGGGCAGAGCCTGTGTGCGCCCCTCCGCAGATCGGACCTGGTGGGGGGGGGGGCCTGGCTCCTCCCCTCCCCGGCCACGACAATGACAAATGTGTTTACTCATCCCCGAGCGCCCCCCCTCCTTGTGCCAGGGCATGGTTGTAAATCAGCAGCGCCCTGCCTCACGCGCTGCACGTAGCCAGATCATTAAAATACTGCTCGCCTGGCAGCCCGCCAGGAGCTGGGAGTGTCTATCAGTGTGCTGCTCCTGGGGGGGCTGCCGGGCCGCCTGCCTGCCTGCAGTAGCGGCCGAGGGGGACAGTACAGAGGCGCTCTACTTGCTGGATCTCCACCCCTGGCAAAAGAGCAACAAAGTTGATCAGAAAAGGGCCTCCAGCGAAACGCAGCTTCGCGTTTAAATCGGAGACCTCCTTCTGGGTCCACGGGGCAGATGCCGATAGACGAGCTCTTGTGCCACGCGTGGTATCACTAAACAGATCTGCGAGAGCACATGTGAGCCGGCGCAGGCGTCGAGCTGCTGTGTCATGTAAATCTGAGAAGTTTGCTTTTCTGGTGCGTTGTTGCCGTTTGGAAGACGAGAGCTGGGCTGACTTGGCAGTTATGCTTTTTGCTAAAAGCACACTCACTATTTTTATCGCAACTCATGCTATTAGTTAGATTATGCCCTATTAAATTAATCTGATCGTAAAAGTCTTGGCTTTGCTTTCCTTACAATTATATCACACTCAATTTCTATTTTTACCATTTAATTATTAATGTCCCCACATCATTCTCTTATTGCAAGATGTCCATGGAAATCTTTTTTTTTTTTTTAACCCAATGCATTACAGAATATGTTGGTTATATATTTATATGCCGTGGCAGTTTTGAACCAGTGCACCTGTAGTGCTGTTGGAGAATGTGACTTTCTAATCCTTCAGTTTAGGTAGTACAAGAATTAAGCTGCTTCGCTTCGGGCGCGTATGGTGCAAAAAAAACCCGATTAAACAAATGGAAACCAAAATCCACCGTGCAGCACCTTAGCTCACTGGTGTTCTGCCAAGGTGTCTCGAGTCTTCCGTGCATGCAACTTAACCTCCTCTCTGAAGAGTGAAGGTCTTGACGTTGAGGGAGGTGTTATTCCAGGCTCAGATCTCAGCCGTGACATTCCACCCCACTTCTGTCACCTTTTCTCCTTCTGTGTGACTGTTCGTACGGGGCAGTCGGATAACCATGTGAGTCTTGATTCACGCGTTTCAGGAATTTACCTGCAGAGCTCGTTCATAGAAGGCCACGAGGTCATGCTAGTGATCCCTGTATTAAGAGTTTTTCCCACTTTCAAGGGGGTGAGAGAAAAGGTCAGAAGTTTTGCCAGGCGCAACAAAACGCCTCCAATAACTTCCCTCTAAAACAGGATTAAAACCTTCTCGCAAGGCAGAAAAAATCACAACTAACAGAATTGTGTGTCTACTTTGCTCACGCACTTTATACTTCTGGAGGCAATCTGTAAAGCAACTGTTTTGACAAATGCAAGAGTCAGTCATAAAGAAACATAAAAGGCTATCTCCTTTATGAAACTGAATGCTTATATGAAAAGGGATGGATACTAACACATGGTCTATGAGTTTTTCTTTTTTTTTCTTTCTATAACTGCACATCGTAAGAATATCCACAAACAAGATGTTATCCTGTCCATTTTGTTTTTCAGTAGCTAATTGATCGTTTCTTGAAATAAGCCATTTGTTTTAACAACAAGGCTGGACAGTTGTTCAACACCTCCACTTCTTTTTGTGTAAAGAACGTGCCTTCTGTTCTCAACTTTATATAAACTTACTAGTAGTCAGCATATATTTTCCCACTCCCTGTTATACAGTGGGAGTCTTGATACGCGTGTGTGGTGTCACTTTTGCTAGCATAGTATCATGATTGATAAACGTATTTGTATGTTTTGTATTAGAAATGCTCCATTTTAACAAAAGATGTTAAGTCAACCATATTGGATTAATAATGTGTTTCTTCTCTCTGAAATGTGATTGGATTCTGTGGTAAATGTGTGACATTTTTTTTAAACAACAAAGAACCTTAGTGTTTGTCCTTGTGTAACACTTTGATGGTGATAAATGGGACCTTTGCCTTTTTTCCAGCCTAACTCCCTTGATGATATAATTGAATGCTGGAGGATGTTACTGTATACAAAAATAATCTGTCTGCTAGTTTATTTACCGGTCTGTTAAATAAGGATCCTCAGTTTGACACTGGGACAAAAAAGGACAAAAGGCATGCAGCTTGCGTCTATTGTTCTCAGACACGTGTGGTACCAAGAGGTTATAAACATGAAGCCACTAACCATCCAAACTACACGTTTCTCCAGAGCTGCTCAGTATCTTTGTATTCGCAAGCTGGGATGTATTGCCAGTTTTTAAATGCACAAGTCTGCAGGTGCAGTGACCCTGTATTATTTTCTCTTGCTTAAAACAACTGCTTAAATTCCCACCATATAAAAGCCTTGTGAAGCCTGAACTCGGAATTCCCTGGATTCTTAATCTTAGTAATAAGATACAAAAAAATCCTACTGGCCTGTTCTAAATACATTTTCATGAACCTGAAGGCACAGATGCAACCTTGAGCTGATACTATAACATATACTGTATATGAAACTGTATGTTCCTGGCCTTTTAAACTGATACACGTGTCTACCCTTCCCCCATCATGTGAACTTTCTTTCAGACTACTTGATCCATAACATGATAAGAGGATTTACTGTGAAGCTATAGATCTTGAATCCATGTCCAACAACAAGACTGCTCATCTTCAAATGACTCTCTTGTGGAGCTGCTGTGAATTCAGGGAAATCCCAAATATTCTAGTTTAGTTAGCCCACTTACCATAGATTTTAAACCAGTAACCTTTGAATATACTGAAGAAAATAGCAACAACAGATTGGAAAGAAGCTTCAAATTTGCGACACTTTGTGTAACTGTTTTGGTTGCTTCTTGGGTAAATAACATTTGTTTGTTTTTTACTGCAGAAAAAAAGGATTAGTGTGTCTCGTTGGAACCTACAATTTCAGCAAATCGCTATTTTTTTTTGCTGAAGTAAAATTCTTTATGGTTCTGACTTTTGCAATATATTTGCACACCCAGCAAATGTTGTCTTTGCTTTAATGGAAAAGTTAAATTTGGATTCTAAAGACATCCTGTAAGATTCAAAGCTGTTAATGCTTTGCTGCCAACCTCAAGGTACAAGGATGGAGTATACTTGCATATTTTAAACAAAACACCTGGAAGAAAGATTTGCACAGAGACCACTTGATCTTCCATTCGGGGACTTCAGTTGTGTAGAGGGAGTCCTGCTGTCAAAGAAGTCGCCCACGTTTTCTGTCGTCCTAGTTACTATCTCCGATTGCAAAGACTGAACAATCATTAAAACTAAATAAAACTGTCCTCTTGCATAACAGTGCTGAAAATTGCATGCCTTGGTATGACGAAGCACTTTTTAATGCAGGGAAAACTCCTGGCTTCTTCTCTCAGCAGCCAGGTGTGATGCAGGTATGGTTTTCCTTTCCTAATCATCTTCTTTGATTTGCTTGCAGGCGATGGTGGCCTGCTACCCAGGCAACGGAACAGGATACGTGCGGCACGTCGATAACCCGAACGGTGATGGGAGATGCGTAACTTGTATATATTATCTTAATAAAAATTGGGATGCCAAGGTACGTAGACTGCAACCCTTGAAAATCGCCACACTCGTTTGCGGCTCGCTGGGTCCAGACCTTTCCCCCCTGTCCTAGTGGTCATGATTATCTTGCTCTTTCAGTTTTTGCACGTGCATTGTGGGCTTGTCTTGTCAGTTTTGCCGGACCGAAGTGTGACATTTTTTTTTCCTCCCTCCTTTTGAGAGGAAGGAAACTGCCGAGCTGGAACAAACTGAGCCTTTGAAACTAAAAGGCTGCTCAGGATAATAAACCCCATGTGAAGTTCTGGGCAGGCTTCGTCTAAACAGAGTATTTCCTCATCTCCAGATTTGTTATCTCCTCATTAGTTCTTCCTAGCAATTTCTTCCTCATATTCTACACACCTCATCACTATCATAAGACCTTCATTTAACACAGGATATCTCGTGGGTATCTCTGGATACTGCATAACTAGATGACTTCCAAGACAAAAAAAGAGACATGTAAACCAGGATACAGGAAAAGCCTTTTGTCTTGTTCTGGTCTTAATGCCATGTTCCAGATACTCCACATGGAATATAACATTCCATTTGTGGGATGTTGCATGTGTCCGTTTTTAATAACCACTTTTATTTTTACAGAGTCATGATGCACTTGGAGTCTAGTCCAGGAGGCATGGGCTGCCACCTGTTACAGCTATATATAAAGCATGAGACACCAGTCCATCGTAGGGCACACACAACAGGGGAGAGTGGCCAGTTTACCAGGCCAACACATCTTTCAGCTGTAGGAAGAAACCTGGGCAGTGAAGAAGAAAATGCGGTAATTTAAAGGGTTGAGTACAAAGGAACAAACGTCAGATGAATTTCCACACCAGGCAGCTTCCTGCAGGGAAGAGGAGAGCAGAGGAGAAAACTCTAGGTCAGGGGTCTCCAGCCTTATAGTTCACTTGTTTCTAAACATTGGCAACGCCTGCGTTATCTTGATTAAGGAAATGATCTGTACAATTAACAAAAATGTGGTCTGTGGAGACTGAAGGGGACTCAGATTCTGGTCCCAGGCAATCTCTAAGTTACTCGTTTTAACGTATCGCCTGCTTGATAGGTCCGAGGGAAAATGTAGGAATTGGCAGTTCGGGGGTGGCCTATCGAACCTGCCGGATTGGGGCTGCCCAGGATCAGGGTTCGAGACCTGTGCTCTGGGCCAGTGGTTCTCACCCCTGGACTCCCCACCCTGAAGAAAATACTAGAGCAGCAGGCAGACCTAATACTGGCAGCAGTTAGCACTGGTACAAAAACCAGAAGACAGGGTTCCTCCGGGACCAGGAGTGAGAATCCCTGCTCTGGAACCATTTAGGATTGGGGACTGTTCCAAACTGACGTAATCCCACTCCAAGATTAGCCACACAAGCTCCTGGAAAGGCAAGGAAATATGCCAAAGGGGACAGGTGCTGAAAATCTCAAGTGAAACTTCCCCGTAGTTTTTCCCTGGAAGTGTCCCTTCGAGTCAGATGGCCGTCTCCTGGTAGACTCTTCTCAGACAGAAGAAACTGCGTCAGAGTCCTCAGTCCTGTTTATTCCAGAAGATTACACTACAGAATCTAAAAAAAGTCCTATTAGGCTTTGGGGATTAACCTGTACTTCACGGGTTTGCCCTGCCTGATAATATAGGGTCACTATATTTAAACATTCAAAACAGAGGACAATCTGTAGAGAGGGGGGAGAGTGGCATTTGTACCAGTATCAATTAAATTGAGTTGTATTTATGCGATGTTTATGTGCATAACGTCTACTGTATGTATAGAACATACATATGTATAACCATGTCTCTGTGGCAAATGAGATATAAGTACCAGTTCTATATACCCAGCTCTCAGCTTCTCATTCTTCTCTACCACTTTAAAAAACATGGGCATTGTGTCTTTAGTTGTGCAGTGAATGTGTTCTTTTGTTTTGACATTGTGTTTTGGGATAGCAATATAAAATAGCGAATGAAGATCTCTTGAAGAAACACTTCCGTGCACAGCAGGGGATCAGATAAGGCACTAAGGTTAGCGCTATAGCTGAGCCAGGGGTCGAGGCTGTGGAAACATAGTACCTGGAAAACCGAGCCGGGCAGTGACCTAGACCAGTACACAACTAGAAGCAACGCGCAGTGTCTCTCACGGATGGTCAATACTCTCTTCAACCCTGAACCATTTCGCATTGACCGTCCTTGGGGGGGAAAAGAATAAGGGTAAAATCACAGATATTTTAAGATATTTGAAAATTTTCTGCACAGGTATTCAAGGACCAAAAAGGAGGACATATGAGAGAAAATCTGGACGTTACAGGATTTCTGCATCCTAAGATGAACCTTGATTTTTACTGCCTGCTCCTAGGCTCAGTTATTGGCTAGTCAGTAGACATTTTGGCTCAGTGCCTATTGGTGGCCCGTTTAAGAGCCAAAATGGCTACCTCCTATGGAAGCCTCCCAGGACCAGAAGAGATGAGTCTACCATGCACTAGTTTCTCGCACATTCATATTTTAGGCGTTTGCACAAAGTGGTAAAAAATTTTAAGGGAAAATTCCATATTTAATGCCAAGGTTATTCAATTGTTATGGTGCTTTATACAACAAAATCATTGTCTTTAATGTACAGTATGTCTCTCCTGGTATTACTGAAAATCCATGGACTGCTATGCTGACAATAAATAGCTGTTTTCTGAATATTCTAGAGTGCTGTGCCCTGGGAAAACGCACTGACGCAGGAACAGATTTTAGTTTGAATTTAATCAGGTGTGTGACCCCCTGACCTGCTTATAGAGTTTTTATCTAATTACAGGAAGCTCTGGTCTGCCTGTTCAAGATAACGTTCTGTAGTCAAAACTGACTAATCTTATTTCCAAGCTGTGGCCACCACAGAACATCATTATTTTTGGATTTTGGCAAAAGGATGGTAGCCAAAAGAATTTAAAAGTCACACCAACATGGAAATTGTCATTTTTATTCTGTTCAAACCAGGTAGCAATCTGAATATACATTAAGGTTCCTGAGACTTTCAGAAAAACAAATTTGCCTGTTCTGTCAGCTCTGTCCTGGTAACATTTGACACAAGAAAACTTGAGAGAAGCATATTTCCATTTATAGTAGGCTGTGGACCCATGCCAGTCTTTAAACTGCAAACCATTCATTGGGTTCTGAATTGCAGTATTCCAACTCCAGCATCCCTCAGTTTCCCAGGTGACTTTAAATTGGCAACAGCTATGAAGAAAAGTTATCTTGGTTCAGTTAATTATTCATTACAAAGCTGCTTGTCTTTCAAGGCCTGCCGACCTGTGAGCATGTGGCTTTTGGAAATCTACCTAGAGATGGCCTCTCCTTTTCTCCTTTCTCACCGCGGAGGCTGTCATCGGCGCAGGCTCAAAGCGGAGCTGCCCTTTCCTCCAGTCGCACAACTGCTCAGTGACAGCGTAGGGAGCACCGAGTGTCCTGCCTGCTCCCAGCACTGCAGCTAACTCACGTCAGAGAACCCCTGCTACACCAGCCAGAACGTTCCTGTCACTGGTGGAAACTATGCAGCGAGAATACAATTTCAAGTGACATTTTTCACATTCTGATTCCTCACAGTTTAAATATATATCGAGTATCTGTTAACTCAAGGCTAGACCAATGAAAGGCCAGTACCTTCATGCTTGGGGTACCTTTGTCTCCACATTGAAACCTCCTGAGCTAACCTTCAGAATGTGCACCTTGTGTGGTTTCCTGTGATCCTTTTGAAGACGGACACAGAACACTGGTGTTTACGGCTCTAAGAGAGTTATTATTTCCAAACCCTGGTCCTGGAAGAACACTGCTGGATTTTGTCCCAACTGAGTTCTTAATTGATTTTGGTTTTCTGTTTGTGGCCAATTTGTAAATATGGTTTCAGCTCATGAAATGTCAAATCGGATAAGTCACTGGTATCATCCCAATTGGTATCCGTTTCGGAGTTTCAGAATTGCCCTCATTCCGGTCTGTTGACTGAAATGTAACCAGTAGGGGCTCTGCAGAAGGATCTGTTGATCTGTTGGCTTTTATTGAAGTTGTCGTTTACAGCTGAGCTGGAATGAAAATCCCCAGAGACAGGGACGGGGGTTAGGAGCCAATGTCCTAGAGATCCTAGAGATAATATTTATGTGTATTATTCTGAGTCATTTATGAAGAGTAAAAAGTCCTAATCGCATTAAACACAGTAGGTTCATTGGAATGCAAATTACAATCCCACTGTAGAAATTCTGCCATAATGAATCAACACTTATAGGAAATCTGTGATCAGCTTTGATGCACCAAATAAATCTAAGATCCAGCTAATGTAAAATCAATGTTTTAGTCGGTAAAAAAAGCTTAGTATAAAGTAAAGAACAGTAGCAGTTCTTTCAATTTGTAGAGCTTTCATTGTGTGCTTTGCAGACTCCTTTGGAGAGATGTGTATTTCCATATGCAGTCTGGAATCGCAAAGGAAAATTCAAATTATGTCTGGGGAAAAGGGGCTCTTTATTTGTGAGATCTTTGCCTGCAAGAGGAAACATAAGCTGGGGCTTATTTTTTTTTTTAAAGATTAAAATGGCTTTTTAAGGTTCACTGATGTAAGTACAGGCTGTTGGCCTAGTAGTGTATGTCAAAAATTAAAATGGCAGTTTTGTTCCAGAAATGTATCCTTTGACGAGAAGAGCGAAACATGATTTAGTCAAGAATACAAACTGAGGCCGTGGTGTTAATTCTCCCGACCTGCAGCGTCAATATCTGGAGGGTCTTGGCTTCAGCCTTCGGTTTTACCTCTAGCTTCTGCCAGCTTTGGCCTTTTTGTCTGAAACCAACAGCACTTGGTTTCTTAGCAACCTAAATTGCCACAGACCGAGGGGACAATGGAATGTTGGCTTTTCCTGCAGCTTTAGAATTTCAGTGCTCTTGTGCTTCACACACAGTCCAAGCAGGACTGAGGACATCATAACAGAGTTCTGCAGATCTGTAATGTATGTTTTCCTTTAATGTTGCTCATTAGCTTGACTGATCCACTTGAAACTCTGCTGTACTGCATACAGCATTATACCCAGTTTAGACCAGTGCTCTCCTAAAAAAAGTCCAATATTTCTATTGTTTACAGGCAGATTTGAAAGGCAGCTATAAAAGTCACCTGTATTCTATGGACTGCAAGGTTCTAACTGAAAATCCCAGTCCCCTGTTTCAAAATGGAATATGGACGCATCTTGAAGGGTTTGCCAGTGACATCACAGCTGAAGCATGGCCTTAGGGCTGTATTGTAGAACACAGTGATTCAATTTGTGTGGGTGACATGGCTCTACCTGCGTTGAGAGTGGTAGGACCTTTGCTGTTCCTGAGCTCAGAACCTTATACCTGTTATTTCACATTCAGCAATCTGATTGTACGCACTTAACGGAAGACATTCCTCATTTGAAATCACTGGAACTTTTTAACCCTTTATTCCTTTTTAGTCATATGCCTCAATTAGGAGTGTACAACAATACATTAGTAATACAATAAGGAAGGTTTTTTATTTATATCAACTGTACTGTATGTGTCCCACCCAGGGTGTATACTGCCTTGTGCTCATTACCCCCCTTGAGCCTGTATTGGATAAAGCAATTAAAAAATTAAATGGTGTGCAGTATGGTCTTGACATTTGCGAGGGTTCAGTGCACAGAATAGTAACAAATAGTCAGATTTCCACATAACCACCCCATGGGTCCTCCCCTATACAGTTGCATAATGTACTACAGAATGCAAGATCTGAAAGCATACAGTAAGTAACCCTTCCTTATATGATAATGTACTAATGCATAGGCTTTAAGATTATTTAAGTAATACTATTCAAGTGAAAGAAACCACAGTAATCACAAAATTATAGTAGTTCAGGTAAACAACATGAATCCCTCCTCTGTGACTAGTGGATGCCTGCACTTTTTCTCCCTGCTCCTTGAATAGCACGTGTAATTAAACAGGCAATAAAACTGTTGTTGAGCCTGTAAAGTTGTCTATAGGCTGTCACTCCCCACGCCACTGACATGGAACCAGGAGTTTTCCTTACAATGTAAAAACAAGACCACGCTGAGCTGCAGATGCTGAATAGTGGGAGCTTGGGCTGGCAGCAGGTTGAGTAGAGTTGACTCACTAGTTAGATTCGGCTCATGATCTTTGTGCTACCAATTGGAAAGTTGGGGTTAACCTTCAGCTTGGTTTCCAAGTCCCCCTCAGCCAGAATACATTTTAATTAAGCAAATTGTCATATGTAAAATGTGCAGATGCCAAGACCCTACTGCATATTTATTTTGTTTTAGGTTTTAATTTTGCAGTCCCTAAAATCATTCGTTCATCTTGGCCCTTTCTTTGCCTTTGAACTGGGAAAAAGAATTACCCAGAAATGATGCTCTGGTATATTCCAAAATGATATATTGGACCAATCATAGTGTACATGGAAGAACCCCTTTGCTTTTGATGTAGGAACCAAGTGACTCATGTTGTGCAGAACTGTTTGAGTTGACCAGGGTTCTCTCGGCTCTGAATGGCACTGCGCCCCCTGTGGCCAACTTGGGCTATTGCAGGCATGCAGTGCTGTCGGTGTGGAACGCACCTCTCCGCCACTTGGCGCTGATCCTGCAGTACAGGACTGTGCTGCCTGTGATGCATTGAAAGACGCCCGGCATGAAGGCGGGCAGCCTCAGTGTTCATAGCTGCAAGCCAGGATGTGAAAAGGTAGACAGGTGGCAATACCGTAATGGGCGGGTATGACAAAAATCACTGGAGCTTCTAAATTGCAAGAAAATAATGTTGCGCTGACTCTGCATTGTTATCTAAAATGTCCGAAGCCTCGTATTGCACACTTCCTGCCCCAGCACACACTTTGCACTACAGCGGGCTGCGGGAGGAGCCGCTGCAGTATTTTTCAGTCTCTTCCTGGCCGGCGCAGAGGGGTCACACAGAGTTTATGCTGCAATCTGGCAGCTCTATTCTGAGAGTGGCCCAGTTCCTGGGATTATGCTGTCTGGGCTGGAATTGTCTTAATTGCGAAGCAGGCCGGGCTGGAGAGCGTCAGATTAGAGTAGGAGGGTTCTGCGGGTTCTGAAGTTGCCTTAAATGTCAAGGTCGGCAGAGGGAGGTTTCACTGAATCCTCTCGGTCCTCCACGGGCCGTTCCGCCCGCTGCAGTAGCCCATGGCTGAGGAGGGACGGGTTTCGCTGTCCAGATGGGGCGGCTGGGCCGTGTCACAGGCCGACGGAGACCAGGATGTGGTTTCGGCAGCAGCGTGCAGTCAGTAGGGCAGCGCTCGGCCCTCTGGGGCCACAGCACTCCCCTAGTCTGTTCAGGCGCCCCTCGAGAGGCACCACGGCCAGAGGCCCCCCTGTAGACATTAAGCCGTATTGCCAAACGGCCGGTGGTTACGAACTGGGCTGGCAGGGGTTCTGTTTTACACAATCAAAAGGGTTTTAAACCGTGAACCTTAGACAAATATTCAGGCAAATGTCGGAGTGGAAAAGGACACTTATTTCCTACCTTTCCCAGTGCCCTCCCATTGGTGAGCGACGGAAGGGGAGTGCTGGGGCAGCCTGGGACAGCCTTCTGCCATGCCTGGCCTTTTTGTGATGGAGGCCCGGGCACTAGATTCCCCCAGCTGAGAGGGTTTCTGCTCATAAAGTCAGTGAGAAGGGGTAGGCAGACTGACGGGAAGTGTGCTCCTGCCTCACAGTGAAGAGGAGTCCTCTGTGATGTCACAGGATGGGATGGCTGTGAACCTACTGGCCCTGCTCTTCCCAGGGTGTCTCTGGACTTCCCATGTGGAGGGAAGAGTGTGCTGGAAATAGCAGGGCCTGTAGCAGCTGATCTGCACGAGGAATGGGTGACTGTTCTCAGTTACAGCCTCGGTAATCACGGTAATGAACTGCAGACCTTTTGGAGTGTACCGTATTAAACGTAAAGCTGTTTACACTTGGGTGAAATGCAGGTTTGCCTCTCCAACGTGGTGACTGTACGTGGATGGAAATAATCACGCAGTCTTTAAGCATTTTCCGAGCCCATGCTGAATTCAACTCATAAGTACATCATGACCTTTCTGGCTGCTATGTATTACTGCGCTCGGAGCAAAATTTAGAGCAGAGATCACAGCACACAGCTCCCTGCAGCTTTTGTTTCACTTGAGCGCTTTCATTGCAGACCCATTGTGTATCGCAATATACCTCTTCAAGGCGGAAATGGCAATTTTGCTTTTCATCTTCACCGTTTTGTGCTTTGAACAATAATTGCAATTACCAGCATCAATTGTTTTTCAGTTTTAAGTAGAAGAATCACAGTAAACCACAGTGAAGAAGCTCAGTCAATAATATCGTGATAATCGCCTCTCCTTGATCGGTACATTTAACTCGGCCTCTGGAGGTTTGTTTTTCTGTTTACCTGTCCATGTGCCTGGTATTATTTTCTGGAAAGTGCCGTGTTCTCAGGAGAGTCACAGTCATTGACAAAAAATTTGAAATATCTCATTGTATTTAGTGTCTAGATGGTGTATAGGATTTGACTGGACTTTTTTTACTTTGCCTTGATGACAGATGTAGAGTTGAATTCCTCCTGAGCAGTGGTTCTTATAATCGTGTGGTACAGGAATGTACTGTAGCTCTAGTTCTGCAGAGATTGAAAACACTGCAGAACCACAGAAAGGAAATGGTAACAATTTGGTGTTTTTTTACAATGCAGCAACTTTAGCAGTTGTCTGTGTCTAAAACAAGCGGTATTACAACACACATGAGCTTGTGTAAGTGACAACTTTTTTATTATTCCTCATCATTCTTTGTTATTCATTTAAGAATAATACCAATCTAAAATTAAGAGTCTATTTGAAAAATATGCCACTCATGCAATACTGAACCCTTCATTGAAATGGTGGAGATAGATCACTTCATAATTAATCCTTCCAGCCTAAGCAAAAACCACCGTGATGTCGACTTTGCAGTTGCAATTCATGTATCAATTGAAGTTGCCTTCATTTCACCTCCCAGCCACTTGCAGCTTTTTAACTGTTAAACTTCTTTGCTTTTGTACTTTGCCCACGAACCCATCTCCTGTCTGAAACGGTATCTGTATCTCAGCCTTGTGGAGGAACTGGATGATGAAGGCTTTAGTTTTTTTTGTAAGTTTTGAGCAATTCCTTAATAAATATTCTTTTAGTAAAATGGCAGTACAATAAATAAACACCTGGAAGTTACATTATTTTACATCTAAGCAGATTAAACGGTCTTTTGTGGTTTTTCCACAGGACTGCCCTTGGGGGAAAAAGCGATGTGTATCCCAAGGGTGCCTTCCTGACTAAACAGATCGTAATTCTTGCATTCCAGGAACATGGGGGTCTGCTCCGAATATTCCCGGAAGGCAAAGCACAGTTTGCCGACATCGAGCCCAAGTTTGACCGGCTGCTCTTCTTCTGGTCCGATCGGCGCAATCCTCATGAAGTCCAGCCAGCTTATGCCACGAGGTGAGTCTCTGCCCCTGGCGCCGGGTCTGTAGGCAGATAGGAGCCCAGCCCTTTTCCCAAACTGTTTCTACCACTCGGACTCCCACGTTCATTGTACATTGTACGCCTTGACCTTCAGTTCCCTTTCTGCTTAGCATATCCAAGCATCAGGTTCAATGGCCTGTTAAATATGTATGGTCCTGCACTTGAGCAGAGCAGTGTAAAAGGAAAGTTTCTCAGCAGCTGTGGGAAGGGGCTTGGATTTTCCATTCCCTGCATTCTTAATTCTCCTCAGGCACTCCAGCTCCCATTCCTGTACTCTGCTGGAACTGAGACAAGTATAAATGTATCGCAGAATCTTTTTCTTAACTGAAAACTGGCCTGTTAAGTACCTTGCTGTCGTTTTTCAACACTATTCTATCTTTCGTCTGGTTCTTTAATTATGGAATGGTGTCGTTATCTACTGTTTTTGTTCGCAGTTGCTTTTTTTTTTCCTTTTGGTTTTTCTGTAGTGAGCTGCTGAGCTAGGTCATGACAAAGTTCTGAGCAGTAATAGTGTACAAACACATTTGATGTTTGGGATTCTTCACCCAGGAACAATACAGTTTTAATCTCAATTCTTTATTAGGCTGACATTTCTTCTGTATTTTTTTTAACTAAAAATTGTAAAAATGTATAGCTTGTATAGTAAGGTTTCTGATTCCTAATTTTGTGATAAATATCCTGTGAACAAAAAGGGATACACGCTTGAAACTGAAATTTGGGCAGGAATGATTAGAATTATTTATAGTAGCTGCTTGGTTGATTAAGCTACAGTTGTTCTTGACAGCTGGAAACCAAGAATTATTTGAGACATCTTGTGGTCCATTTGTCTTAATTACACTTGGTGTTTATTTCTGGGATTGCTTATGAATGAATTGGAGTTTTCTTTTGCTTTTACCCTTTCTTTGTACAGGTATGCCATAACAGTGTGGTATTTTGACGCAGATGAAAGAGCTCGGGCTAAAGAAAAATACTTAACAGGTATGGCAGATCCTAAACAGCAGGAGAGCATACTGTTTCTAGACGACGGAAGAACCGAACTTTCAACACGTGTTGTTTCCCTGAGATGCTTACACTCTGTATCTAGTATATATTGCTTTCATTTTAATTGAGGGATTTCTTAAAAATGTCTATACTGTAACAGTCCTTGGCTGTTCGGAAAGGACTGACACAGTAGTGGTGTCAGAATAAGTTTTATTCCAAGTGAGTCCAAGGTTCCCAGTTTATAGTTCAGTTCTTGTTCCTTGATATTGCACGATGCATTGATTTGAAGCAGCTTGCTCTAAAAAACAAAACATATATACATATGTATTTATAAGAGACAAGAATAAGCCCAGTAAGGGTTTTACTGAAATGCCTGGGTAGTTTTCAAAGTGTCTGGATTTGTCTCTCAGATGTAACATTAGTGTTACATTTCATGTAGCATGCAGGGGACGACTCTCATCATCCTTTCCCTGAAGACCAGTCACTTTTCCACAGATTTCACCTGCACAGTGGCGTCTCCCCAATTCTACAAACATTGTTGTTTTAAAAAAAAAACTGACTTTCACCCTGGAGGTTTACAGTGGTCCTGGAAGTTCAGTTTTCATTTTGGTTTTCGCATTTGTTTCACTAGACCGGTTCTTCCTCACTACTGTGTCCAGTTACTGCTGGATTAACTTCATTCTAACAAACTCACGTCAACGCTGCTAACGACGTGCTCAAGCCAGAAGAAGAGCACAAGTCGTCCAAAAAGTTAGGAACCCCCACTCAAGTGTTTGAAGTCTCTTGCTGGGTGGCAACGAGTGCTGGGGTAGGAGAAAGACTACCTGCCCCTTGCTGGGCAAGAGCCAATCCGTTAGACTCCACCAAGACAACCACATACGGTTCTGATGCATCAAATCATGATGTCTCTTTTGCAATAAAGCAAGGAGAACAGGTGAAGTTAACATGTTAATATCGTCTCTCACTCACTTTTTCAAACAGGGCTACAGGTTGTTATTCTTGAAGATTAGCATAATTTTCATACAAAAACACATTTTTGTGATTAGCCAGTACCAGTTTGTTGCCTTTATAAGATGTAAACTAGGTCAGAGAGTCGGGTGATTAGCTCAGGTCTGCCTTGGCAATAAACCAAGGCCCCCTGTTCCTTTCATGTTGCTAAATCGGAGTGTGAGTGAAGGATACTTGAATTACATCTCCATTCGAGAGACCTTGTCCAGCCAGGAATTTGCAAAACAATAAAACGATTCTTAAAGGCTTCATTGTTAACTCATATCAAGGCATAGGTTCCTTCAAACTCTAGACCTCAGTCCTGCTGAAAACTGGTCGAACTGGTGGAGCACAGGCCCAGGTATCTTCACCTGCAACACCAAAAAAACGCCATTCCGCGAGAGGAATGACATGGATCAGGCTGCAGATATTCCCAAACCTTGCGGGACACGTTAATCTCAGGAGCTGTCTAGTATTTGGGCGAGACAGGTACACGGTGACGCGTGGGTTTGGCAACACAGAAATGCTTTTTCTAAGAGATGGACAAAAACAAAAAACTTGGGAAGCATGGGCTTGCTAGACTGACTCAGAACTCAGAGCCCAAGCCTGTGATTGTCCTACGATACAGGTTACCGGATCCAATTGATTTTTCTCTCCCCCCCAATGTTTTTCCAGGGGCAGGAGAAAAGGGAGTGAAGGTTGAGCTGAATAAACCCCCAGACACGAGTTTCTGAGAAGCTGAAGAGGTCGACTGCAGGCCCCGGCTTCTCGCTGCCAGGAGAGAGTGAGGCGATTCGCTGTGAAAAGCGGGAAGAAGCAGCTCCTCTGCCGTCTCCACTTTCCCGTTGAACATGGCTGACCTTGAATGTTTCGGCATTGCACTGTGAGGACTGAAGTTTCCGTGTCTTTGGTTTTGCTTTCTGTGAAAAACACTGACGTTAAAGCAATCACAGAACTCTCTTATTTGCTTGATGCAAATGAAAACTATTATATATGTAAAGGCTGGGTATTGATCAGAGCACATTGAGCAGCACAGTGCATTTTATCTCTGGTGTTTACTGTCACATTTAGATTTCTTGGTAACTGTATAAACATGAAAGGTACAACATACTGGATTTTCTTTGGAATGATAACCTGTATTCATGGAAGGAGTTCATCTATACTCCTAAGGTTTGCCTAAAGTGAGAGCTAATCATAATCCCATTACAAGTATTTATTGAGTTGCTTAAGTACACAGATGGGGTGCTTCAGTTGCTAGCCTGTATGGATTGTGACGCTCTTTTCTTTCACTGGCTGTTGCTTGGTAACTTGACATGGTGTTTGAGATCTGCAAGCTTCACTACATCAGTGAGGATCTCTCGATTGTCCGAACTGTATCTTAAACCACGACAAATACCAGCGCATTCACTTTTCTATATGTGACTCTGCTTTATAAATGCTTTCCAAGTCTCTTCTAAGACTGTAAACTAATAGGCATATTATCTCCCTTTTCTGAATGGAAAAGTTGGTCCTGAACCCCTGTTCTTTGTAGACGTTCAGGAGGTTAATTCTGAACGTTCTAGGTTTCACTCCCAAGAAGAGACAAGGTCTTTTTTTTTTTAACTGTGAGACTGTAAATTGTAAAGTGCTGCAGTTTTGCAAGCTGTTGTGGTATGAACACCCAAAATTTCATAATGCAGTAGATCGTTTTCACCTGCAGGTCATCTGTACAACAGCACAGAACTGACCTTTCAGAGCTAACTAGTAGAGCATTGATTGGCCACTTGGGGAGGAACCAAAGAAGGTTGATGTCTTGGGAAGAAGCACTTTCTTCTGTGCAAGAACATTGATGACATTTTGTGATCCTCACAGAATACACACTGAATACTGTGAGCAGTGAATGAGATCCCAGACCTTCTATACATTTTATTGTAATCAAGGGGGTGCTGGCAGATAAGTGAGGTTTCCAGCATTGTCCAAACCTTCCCCTTTAGTCCAGTTAGACTCTGGGCACGCTCACGCAACACTAAACTCTCCCTAGAGGGGAAGAAGAGCTGAAAGCCTTCTCCCAAGAGAAATAAAGACTTCGTTATGGGCTGATGTATTAGTCTGTCCACAGGGAAGCTCACTACAACCACCCAAAACACAGATCTCAAAACAAGGGCTTTAACCCTGTCTAGCCAGCTGAGCCCTATTCACTCAGGATTCAGATCATGCCTGTTTGGCTCGCTGTCACCAGACAGGAGTGCAGTGCTTTTCACTTTCACAGAGGCCCTGGAAATTGTACTGCTCCTCAGACTACTGGCCTTGATTGTGCTAAATGCTAAAATAACATCAGAAAATAATCATAAAATGGCATTTTAAGTTTTAAATTCAAAGTCTCTAATTTATTCCATTATACCCAGATGTGTTCTTATTCTCCAACAACAATCTCCTAATCAGATTTTTTTACATGCAGAAGAAAGAAGAAAAACTTGGGTTATTCCGATTATTTTTTCCTTTTTCGCAAAGTTAATTAGTCCATTTAATGTTTCAATGTTTGTTTTAACCTATAACCTGTGCTGACTTTTACAGCTTTTTTGTAACGTCTTTGCTACTAATCTTGAAAGAACGCGTATGTACTTTACTAATGTGAGCAGATGCCAGAAACAATTCTCATTTAAAAATACAGCTGTTTGTGTACTTCCTACCTGAAAAAGGTGATGTGAAAGTTGATTTTCCCAGGTTGCTCAGTGAGTGAGGAGTAAGGATGTTCTCTGTATGCATAAAGAAAAGATGGAGGACCTCACTGTTTAATAACAGCACAGCTCATTGCCAGAAACTGGCTTTGTGGGATTTAGGAGTCATAAGAATGAGCCTTTCTGCTTTGAGCTGCCTTCAGTGTGCAGTGTGACAATTGTCTTTACTCTGCCATTGAAAGGTGACCCATAACAAAGGATGTTTCAGCGTTTGCCTTGAAGTCTACACAAATGCGTCTCGTTCAGAGTAACATGCGCTAAAGTACGTAAAATGTGATCAGGAGGGTGAGTTGCAACATCCAAGGAAACCCTATGGCAAGAGGTAATTACTTTCTATGGACACTGTGCGAAATCCATCTCAGTGTTTTGGATTTTTGCTTTCTTCTGAGGGTCCTACTGGACTTATGCTGCTCAGCATGTCTGGTCAGGCACCTGTGTTATGAGATCAGTTACTTTATTGTCTAGTCACTCATTAAAGGCACACGGGTACCATTCTCCATTACACCAGGTTTAAAAGAACTTCATCGTGAAAGGAGAGTCAGTCAGCCTCAGAATTTTGTCATCACTATAACACTGATTTTAGTACAAACGCTTCCTCCAGTAGAAAATCATAATGTAAGCTAATGGCATAATGCGATATCTCGACCTGCATGAAGAGATATGGGTTTGCTTTTTTTTGTATATAAATCAATGTGATATAAAATACAGTGTTAATGATGAAATGACTGTCAGTTTGCTTGATAAATTAAAAATCCAAATCCAAATGTTTTCAATAAACACATAGAAGCCTTGTGTATGTCTTTGTGTGCACTGCGGAGACTTTGTAGTGGGTTTTAGAGCATCTAATTGGTTTGGCAAAGTGCAAGAGTGGTAGCTGTGGTCTCTTAATCCATCACTATTTAGTCCCCTCCTAATCAAATTATTTTAATGTGTGTGACATGTTTAACTGACTGGTGTTTGTACTCTTTTATACAGCTGGGCATTTTACTGAGCAATCAGAGTAAAGTACCTCTTTCTCAAGGATAGGAACAGCACTGCGCCACTTGTGATCTGATCCCACAACCATCCAGTTACAAGTCCAGAGCCCTGCCCACTGTTTCACACTCGTAAAGCAGAGCAGATGTCCTGTCCCTTACTCCCTGGATCTGTACACAACTGAATTGCAATGTGTGTTGTGGGAGGCAGGGGCCAGGTGTATTTCAAACAGGAGACTTGTCTGAAAGTATATTCATTCAGCTTCTTCTGAAGGCTCACACTTTGTGTTCGAATGTCCCTTGGCCGTGCTTATAGTATTTACTCCCTAAAATAAAAGGGCCTAAGTTTTTGTTCTGTTACAAAGGTTAGATATGTTCACGTGTCACAGACCTGTGTCTATGGGTTTATTTGTATTGGCACGAAGACCAAAGTATGTTTTCCAAAGTGTCCAGCGCCATCATGTGGTTCAATATGTTCAACGTCCATCAGCAAGTGGTGAGATCAACACTCAGAGCTCACAAGCCAGTGGATTTCTTCAGAATGAACAGTGAAACGTGAATCAGAGGACTGAAATGAGAACAGGAAGCACTTCTTTTCAAAGGGTCGTGGGAGCCTGGAACAAGCTGCCCAGCCATGTTGGTGAAGCCAATACCCAGGCTTTTATCAAGGAACAGCCTGATGAGATCCAATTAGCCACTAAGTACCAAATGATCTTTTGTTCGTAACCTTTCCTCAGTTTTTATTTAGAAGTACCTTTGGCAGCAATTACAGCTGCTAGTCTCTACTAGTTTGACACATGGAAATGGTGAAAGCTTGCCTTTTCTTCTCTCCAGTCTTGTTCAGCACTAATCAGGTTTTCCTACCATATTTCAATCAGATTCAACTCCCTAAAGCTGTGGGTAAAAACATTTGCAAGACAATATATGCAGTACAATAATGGTTTTTTATTGCCAGTCATTTTCATTTTGACAATTAGCAAAAGTCCATTTAACATGGATTCTAAAATAAAAATTGTTTCATAATGAATAGTGAAAAGCCATTTCAATTTGATATAGATTATATGCATACTGAGAGCTATAGTTCAATTTAAAAGAATGAATTTGCATAGGCAAATCCATCCCAGAGCTGTTTTGGAGTCTTTTCTGTCTGGTCAGGCACCTGTGTTCTGAGATCAGTTACTTTGTTGTTTGGTCACTCATTAAAGACACATATGTTCCATTCTTCATTGCACCATGTTAAAAAAAATATCATCATCATCACCATCATTATCATCATCGTCAAGATCATCATGAAAGGAGAGTCAGTCAGCCTTGGGATTTTGTCATCACTATAACACTGATTTTAGTACAAACGCTTCCTCCAGGAAAAAATCATACTGTAAGCTAATGACATAATGCGATATCTAATCAATGTGATGTAAAACACAGTGTTAATATTGAATGACTGTCAGTTTGCTTGATAAATTAAAAATACAAATCCAGATGTTTTCAATAAACACATAGAAGCCTTGTGTATGTCTTTGTGTGCACTGCGGAGACTTTGTAGTTGGTTTTAGAGCATCTAATTGGTTCTACAAAGTTCAAGAGTGGTAGCTGTTGTCTCTTATCCATCACTATTTAGTCCCCTCCTAATCAAATTAATTTAATGTGTGACATGTTTAACTGACTGGTGTTTTCACTCTTTTATACAGCTGGGCATTTTACTGAACAATCAGAGTGAAGTACCTCTTTCTCAAGGATAAAAACAGCTTTGTGCCACTTGTGATCTGATCCCACAACCATCCAGTTACAAGTCCAGAGCCCTGCCCACTGTTCCACACTCGTGAAGCAGAGCAGATGTCCTGTCCCTTACTCCCTTGTGTTTTTTTAAGTGTCCAGCGCCATCGTGTGGTTCAATATGTTCAACGTCCTTCAGTAAGTAGTGAGATCAACACTCAGAGCTCACAAACCCACAGTGCAGCACAGACAAGGACACCTGATTCTGACTATGCTAAACTTCTAGTGGGCCACAGAACAATTTCTGACGAAAATTAGTATGAATGTTGAAGAATTTGCCTATATAGTGTATTTTATGCACTGCTATTTGGGAGTCAATATTTGATGGATGTCTACAAATATGATACCTGATACAACTGGATGCTGTGTGGAAATACACTTAAAACTGAGAACAGGAGGCACTTACACAACTTACACTTTACACAAAGTGTAGTGGGAGCCTGGAACAAGCTACCCAGCCATGTTTCTTTTTCCAAGAAACAGCCTGATGAGATTTAGTTAGCTACTAACACCCAAATGGTCGCCCTTTGTTTGTAACCTATTATTATGTTATTATTTTGAAGCACCTTCAGCAGCAATTTCATCTGCAAGTCTCTACCACTTTGACACACAGAAAGGGTGAAAACAAGAGCAATGTAGCGCTGTGTTGAGAACAGAGACGAAACCTGAGGCACACCATCTCAGTCCTCGACATGTTGCTCTTCTCTGGCATGAACTAGAGATTATTCGGATTATTTCAGGAGCTTGAAAACTTTCCCTGAGAGGTCTGTGGAGATGCATGTTTAGGGCAAAGCAGCGGTGAATCTGCAGGACCTGTGTTGAGCCCAGAGACCCTACAAAGCATCAGGCCAGCTCCTTTGAAGGAAATGCAGCACAAGAGCAGCACTGCTAAATGTTTAAAAACAAGAGCGTGATAATTATATTTTAGGAGCAGATGTTCTAGAGGGTAGTATGTTGGTAGGTGGAGCAGTGGTCAGCAATGCTGCCTTGCAGTGCTGGGGCCTTGGTGTGCTAGCTGTGTGGAGTTTGTGTAGTCTCCCTGGGTTTGTGTGGGTTTACTCTGGCTACTCTGTGTTTCTCCCACAGTCCACATCCATACAGCTGAAGTAATTGTCTCCTGGCAAAAATGTAACTACAGTTTTTTTTTAATTGATATAATTCATATATAGGGCAGCATGGTGGCACGGAATAAGTATTTTTCAATATGGTTGGTCATATTTTTCTCGGGGATAGCTGTTAAACTTTACTTAAGCTAATTTTGTGAAGATGTAGTCTATTTCAAGTTCAGGAACAACAGCAGGTGCAGATTATGGATTCTGCAAACATTGACATCTGTGTTAAAGGGGTGCAAATTCCATCCATACATACCCAGTTGTGTTGTATCTTGTTTTAGTTAATTCATAGAGTTATCACATAGAAACACAGCCAGACCCCCCACCTGCATCAATGGCTTTCAAGCCATGAGAAGGCCGATATGATGTGGAAAGTGGCCGCTAATATCACAGGGAATGTCGGATATGCACTCAGAATATAACTCATTCTATATGTCTTGGGTCTCTGACAGGAAAGGGTTAATGGATATGGTCGTTGTTTTAAAATTCCTATACAGAGGTAAGTCCATTGCAATGAATTCCAGTTTAATTCTTGGACAAAGTCAGGACTCTGGTGGCGAATTGAATATTTCTGACACTCTTGTTGGTCACTATATATTTTTGGAATTATGTCTCCTTGCCTTTTGAATTCCACAATTTATATGATTGGCCTGATCTTCAAGCCAGGGAATAGTTTCAACTGTTAGGTGCTGCTGTATGTCCTTGTCTGGAAAGTATTTCGAAAAAACAAAACAAATCAGCGGTCGTCAGTCTTTAAAGTGTTCAGTTCTCATTGTTAAGATCATGAATTAGGGCAGTTCATTGCATTTGCATCCTTGAGGACAAGGCTGTGAGATAATAGCAACCTTCTTAAGACAGAATTAGCAACATTTTAAAGGGTTACAACAGGAGGACTCCACCTCCACCTTTTTGTTCAATGTCTGGTAGTTTATTGATCAATCTACTGATCTCAACCATCTGTTTCCTTAATTATTGAGCTACAAATAAGTCTAACAATGCTTTCATGTTTTTGGAAAGCTTAATGGGACACTACAGGTTTGCAAACAGCAGGGTAGTTCTGAAGCTGAATAACTTATTCAACGTTTTCAAGAGGGGAGAGTTGGTGAGGAAGTGAATGACGCCTGTACAAATACACCTGTGAATAGTTTATGGAGACATTTTTGCTCCTTCGTTCCAGAAGCCGGCGGAGCCAGGAGAGGCTGCCAGACCTGAGATCTCAGGTACGATGCTGAGTCTGTTGACTCTTCCACTCGCCTGTAGGGGGCACTAGTACCCTTGGACTCCACACGCGTAACACTCCGGCCCGTCTCTCACTACTTCCCGCTTGCTCAGGAGATCAGTCCGCATCTATCTCGAAACCAAAATATAAACACGGTTGCGCTGGACAATAGACGATGTGTGTGGTGCACCCGTATTGCCTATGTTAGCTTTATTTTATAGGCGTTCGCCAATTTCGATTCAAAGGTATCTTTACTGATGATATTGGGCAATAAAAGACTAGTTTTTGCGCGAAATTTCTAGTTTTATATCGCTTCCTTTGCGACAGTGCTGTGTTACACGATGCCCACCTTCTTCTGGAGTGTTTGTTAAGGTGGAACTGAGATACTTTTGTTCTTGTTATTGGAAAGCTTTCTGTCGTGCTTTTTAATTATTCTTTTGGATCCGTGATGCTAAAAATCACGACTCAGATCGGAGGGATATCTTTTTTCCTGTGGTTGCTCGTTGGGGACTTGGTTTTGGGCTGGTTGAACGAGAGGCAACGAAGGGAATCTGCTGGCAGGGTTTCACCTTTCGATAACCTAGACCAAAGCTGTTTTTGTCATGTAAGTATAAATGGGGGTTAATATCTTTGAGGATGTTACCAGACTTTCAAAACTGTCCTTTAAGCCTGGCCGTTTAAACTTCTGGCATTTTCCACTGTCTCCTTAATGTGACGTCATATAAATGCACCAAAAATTGTTGTGCTGGCATGTTATAAAACTGTATTCCGTTTTCTCGATTCCAGTCGGGTTTCTTTATCATCATCATTAAGTTTCCTTCGTTCTAAGGAAGCTTGTCTTTTTGGTTTAGATGTCAGGCAATTTGCTGTAGTTCTCTTAGTATTTTCCCGCATCCCTTCGCCTCTTGCGAACCTAGTGATACGCATTGAATAAAAGTCACGTTAGATACCTATTATAATTAAGATATATATATATGTTATTTTTGGAAGCCACTGTCGATGAACTGTTGAAGACGGCAAATGAAAAAACACAATTTGAGTCCTCTCTGCTGTTTACAGTCGATTTGCAATTGTAGACTCTGTCTTTTATATACCATGTATTGATTTGAACACAGCAACTGCTGACTAGGCAGATTTGACATGAGCTTTTATTATTCTGGTTCCACAGGTGTTATAAGGCCTCCTTGCTAACTGATCAGCTAATTGTCTCACATTAATGCGTCTCGTATATCAGCGGTTCTAATACAGTTTTTAGTTGCGGGTGACATTAGAGACAGGGTACCTCTTATAACCTTTCTGCAAGACAAAAATCAATTTTTAAATCTTTTTTTTTTTTATAACTTGCATGTGATAAATAGTTTTTAATTCGGTTCCTAAGGGGTGTCTGCGTTTTTGCAATGATATGCCCTTTCTGTTTCGGGAGTTGTCAAACTGGAAAACAAATAACGGTACTTGGGCTGTTTACTAGCTGTGATTTAAGAGATAAGATCACTTTATTAGCCATATACAATTTCTTGCATTAGGATCCTTAGCCACAGTGCCACCGCTCCGTCTGTTTTAGGAAACAGATCAGCGTGTCTTTCAACAGCTGACACTTCTAAAACCTAAATTGCTGTGGTATTGCAAATCGGATGTTTTTGTCTTGGTTTAAATATATTGTCTTGGTTTGCACTATGCACGTTGCACTTTACCCTGTCAATGTCTTGTCTATTCGCGCCGTAGACCTGTAGAGCGATATCTCGCTCCCCTGTAGACTTGTATATGGCTGGACTGACAAATAGACTTGAACTTGAACTATAGTGGCTGTAATGATCAGCTGTATTTTCAAACGCACAGACAGGAAGGGCACGTGTCCATCACGGCGGTAAATTAATATAAGACGACGTTCCCTTTGCTGGTCACTGAAAATCAAGGTTTTTCAGTACGTGGAGGTCCCAGAGTCTGCCGGGTTTATTTAGAAGCCGGGATGTTCAATTAAAATAACTAAATTATTATACATGTATTGAATGTTTCCTGAAATCATTTATAGTTGATTACTCAAAATATCCACATACTTAAAGGCACATTTATTTGTAAAAAACTGGTTACAAATATTACAGTTATGCAATAGAATAATCAGACCACCTATGTAACTGAGATTTTGACATCGTGTCTCTTTGCTCTGATCTCTCTCTCTCACTCCCTCTCTCTCTCCTCTGTACTCTTCCTTTTCTGATCACCTCATGTGCATCTTTTTAGAGCACGTCCTTGATCGACTGCAGGCACTGGCTAGGGACATATTTAAACTGGACTCCAAAAGGTTCAACCAAGTAATTTGCCTCCGTAAGGTTACATTAACAATCAGAAAAATGTATATATGTAATGCATAACTTCTTCATTTCGATGGGTAGCCTACACTGCAGCACGTTATAATGAAAGGAAAAAAGGTCCCTTTTAATTTCACTTTATCGCCACGCCTTTATTGTTTATTATACGAGGAAGAAGTATGCTATTAACATTCGGCGAAATTTTAAAGGTCGTTAACTTTTTTTTTGAAAACAGGAAACATTAACCTCAGTCGGGTTTTTGAAAGTAGGAGCATGTTCCCCGCCCCCTCACGTGATACAGAACGGCGTGGCCTATCCGGATTGGGTCACTATAACGACGCTCACTAGGGCTGCGCGGGACTTGTAGTCCGTTTCTCCAAGAGATGCCGTTGGTGGAACGGGTTGTAAACGCAGACCGGACTACAAGACGCAGAATGCATTTTTGGTGTGCCGCTCGTTTCCACGTGCTGCGAGCCCTCCTTTGTTTGGAGGCGGGGTTTGGTTATCAACTAAGGGGGCAGGGAGTGAGTTCCGACCTGCCCTGGGCTGTAGCTGTAGCACTTAATAGACAGGCACCGCACAACCCTGCCAGGACGGACCAGAGTAGCGTCTGGAATATTTGCATGGATGCATAAGGAAAAGTGGCTTGCTCGCAGTGAAAGCTGCTCAATGCAAGATCACCCTAAACTTTTGAACGCTTGACAACGCGTTTGCCGAAGAAAGAAAGGGGTACCTTCTCACTCAGCTACGTAATGAGCGGAGCGCTTTCCCTGTCGGGTGTGGGGTCGCTGTTTTTAATGGTCTGTTTCGGGCAGTGCAAGTCAGAGGTTAGTCAGAGACCTTTGCTACGGTGTCTTTTGCTGAAACATTCTGCTTCTAAAGTGGTAACAATGAACTTCTGAAAAGCACGCTTAAAAGTATGCTTGCTTTCTAAATATAACCCGTTCTTCCTCTCTCAGCCTGTCATTGACTGCGGTTTAAATGATATCAGCTATATTAAGTTTTCAAATTGCGCCTGCTAATGAGACACTTCGGAATTTTTTACGTGAACATAGTAGAGCAATAAGTGTTTTTTTTTCTATGTAATGCTATGCTGTGTATTTTCTGTATTTTTTTGCTGCGCCCCAAAGCTCAGGAATTCTATCCTTAAGGATATCAGAGAGTCTCTTTCCCTAAACACTTTTATATCTAAACTCAGAACCTTCTTTAGACGGGCTTTTATTTAACTGTTTCTGTCCCTTTGCTTTCTTACTGTATTGCAAACTCTTATTGTAATTGTGTCAGTTTGCTGTCTCCTCTCGTTGTGTGCTTTTTTCCCTTACTGTTAAAGTGCTCTCAGAAGTTTTTTAGAAATCATATAAAATGGCTTACATCATATTAAAATGTTTTTATAAAACGGGGAAAACCTATTGCTCTAACCCGCAGTCACTTCGCTGCTACAATGCTATCCTTTATCCATTGTCATTGTGTAAAATACATAATAGTGTTTGCAAATACTAAGAGGTGGCAGGTATAGGACAGAAAGGTTATTGTGGATAACCTATGGAGACATCAGGAGCTTATTTCATTCATATAATGAATAATTTGAAAGTATTACTCGCTTGCACTTAAATATTACATTTCAACAGGTCTCTCTGTGTACCCACAGTATATTAAATATTCTGCTGTTATACGGTTTTCAACTGATTTAGACAAGGTGTGTATAGGGTGTTTTATCATCAGTTTATCAGTCTGATTTTTTTTAAGGATAATACCTGAGATCCATTTACATAATAATGATTCAGCTACAACTTACAAAAACTGTTTTGAGCTTTTTTTTAAAAAAACAACAACATTTTATTCATGTGTTGGGAAGCCCCATTTTTTTGTCTCGTTCTCCTGAGAGAGTGCGCACCTCGAATATGGCCGAGGCACACAGTTTACATCTGGCCCTTTAAGAGCTGAGGTCCGGCCCGTGTCCGCCCCAGTTCTGCAGTCTGCCGATGTCTTTGGACTTGGCTTTGCAGTCCTGTCAGGCCACAGGCCCCGATTCCGAGTTCATAGACCTTTTCTACTGGCGGTCAAGTCTCGAGAGACCGTGGCGGGTGATGAATGGTGACGAATTAAAGTTAGCAGCACCAATTTTACCCCCAAACATGTCGGCCCTGATCTTTCTTGACAGCACGAAACCAGTTACCAGAGAGTGAATTAAACAAGCTTAAGGAAGCAGTGCAATACTTGGTGGTTTGTGAAACGTATGTGAGGACAGGAAGTCTAGTATCAGCGCTGTTTTTCACATCAGCCACGATGCAGCCTTATCTTATCCTTGATTGCGATCGTCAGACCTTAATGTTGGTTTCACAACAGGTTTTTATGCTTAGACTGTAAATCTGGGGAATAGTTGGTAGAGGGAAGTTTAATAATTCTGTGTTTAGTGCCAGGTCTACGGACAGTAGAGATGGGTTTTTAAATTTGTTCTGTTTTTTGAGAGACATTTTGTCCTTTTTGTTTTGATGCTGTGTGGTGAGTTTTGCTGTGAGCCCTGTCTGGTGTTTTCTAGCTGACAGGTGTCTTGGATGACTGCTTCTGTGACATAGAGAGCATTGACGTCTTCAACAACTTCAAGATTTACCCAAGGATTCAAAAACTGACGGAGAGAGACTACTTCAGATACTACAGAGTAAGTCTGCCTGTCAGGTACATGTTTGTCAGGTATAATGTGCTTCTGCGAGGGAAAAAAACAAACCCACAACAGCATACTGTAGCTTTAAATTTCATGTGCAGTGTTTTCCAAGGCTTTTGATGAAATCGGATTTCATGGAGTTTGAAATAAAATGAGTTCAAATGGGTCAAATTTACTATACACACGGCTTTAGTTTGGGTTCCTGTCACCCACCCCCCAGTCTAAATCTCTGGCAAAGCCACTAAGTGCTCTTTACACTTCCATGGTGGGGAGATAAATAGGTTCTGTTGTGTTTCTTTTCAAAGATCTGTCCTAACCCAATTAAAAAAAACAAAGCAAAATGGGCTTATTCTTTTTTTGTGTTTGTTGTTGTGGATGAGGTTCTCGCAACTAGTTCTCTAGTAACTAGTTACCCTTTTATGGGCTAAAACACATTTTTTTGTCCCTGGGATCCTTGCCCTTTTGTAACTCGTTTAGATTTAATTATTGTAGACCATGACATGAAGAAGTCACTGGTGCTGCAGCTGTATCGTCCTCCCCTCACTCTGGACAGACATGGACTCCCCCGCGATCTTGTTACACAACCGGTTATTGCTTAGATACTCATGCTGGACAGATGCATGGATGTAACTGTAGCTGCAGCCTTTTGTTTGCTCAAAAATCGCATAAGCCCATGTTCTCCTTTTTGCTTAGTTTACATTACTTTTTTTTTTTAATTGGTAGGGCTAGTCTCTATAACAGGTGTCCCCAGTCCAGCTCCTCTAGGTCCAGTATCTGTGCACCAGTCTATTTAAAGTCTGTTTAAAGCACCAGCACCTGAAGAGCAGGGAGCAGCTTATAAACTGGATCGATTAAATCAATAATGAGCTGATTCAGGATGTTACAAGCACAGCTGGACTGGAACCCATATAAACACAAGCACTCCTATACCAGAATTGGGGATCCCTGCATTACACAGAGCAAAATGTCCTGTCTATATGAATAAACATGCAGGATATTGTTAGCAGTTTTGTAGTAGCTTCACCATGTTTGTCATATATTTTCTGTGGTTTCTCAGTCTGGCTCATGCCTCATCCCATACTTTTCTGTGTTTTACTCCACATGGCTGTGTCCTTGCCATGGTATTCCACAGTAAATTGTAATAGAAATTCTCCACAAAGACCCAAAATTAGCATCCTGAAAGATTTCAGGGTGCTGTGGAAGCAGGCTTCTAAAAGTCATGGTGTCAGAAAAAAACTGGTATAGACTTGAGTGTGGTAGACGTCATAACAAGCATAGTCAAGGGTTTTGTAGTGCTAAGACTGCTGTATTTTTTGCACTTTTCTCATTTTATCTCTTTTTGTGGGCTGAATTGTGCTAGTCTTTAAAATTGTTCATAAAATACCAAAATAAGTAATTTTTCACCCGTTATGCAATATCTTTATAGGTTTTCAAACCCTAAAGAAATCTATTTTATATATAAATATTATATAATAATAAAATATATAATATCATATTTAAGTTTCTAGTAAGTATAATATTCAGAAAAAATTTTTTAAAAACGTACAGATAAGAGATTGACTTTCTTACACAAAATCCGCCTAACCATACCTCATCGCAGGTTTATAAAAAAGTCAAGTCTAGAAAGCTGAAGAGAGGGTTAGGCCATTTCTGCACCTTTGAAAATGATGGCAAAATCGAACCAGGCTGCAAACAAGGAGTTAGACATGATAAGCTGCGTTATGGATTAACTTCTGAGGAGACAATGTGAGGTTTTAAAAGGCTGAGTAAATAGGAGGGTATTGGCAGTTTTAGTGCGCTGCTCATTCTATCGCGCAGGGAGACCTCTTGGAGCACAATAGTGGAAGCTGCAGTGCTTCTCTAGCAGTAGGTAAGAATCGCAATGAAAGGTGCTGCTTTATTGAAAGATCCTGGGGTGTCTTCAGATTGCAGGAGTTGTGTAAAGCTCTTGAACACACTGTCCCCCAGAACATTACACTCAATAGTCTTTAAGACCTGGTAGGTCATATTTCTGCATGACAGGGGTATTGGTCTCATTATAGCTGCATTATGCACAGTAGGAGAGGGCTGCTGTGAGCGTCCTCCTTTTGCAGTCTTTTGATGTGTGTCTAAGGCTTAGTGGTGGAGGGGCCTAATACAGCCACGTCAACAATATACTTGATACAACTTTACGCGTGCCCGAATGAGCACATTTGGATCCTACTCGACAGTGTTCTCTGTGTTTCTGGAAATTCACACTGAGACATTCACAACACGTTGTTCTTTGTTTACTGACGAGGCAGGAGGGGTTCACCTGCACCATTAATTTCCCTTGCTTCCCAGCTGTCTGTGCTGCGGTGTTGACTTTGTTTGACCCCTTATGCAGGCAGAGAGGTCCTGGTGCACAGATTCGGCTCAGCTACAGCAAGCTCGCACAGTGCTCTAGATGTGTTTGTGTGGGCTTAGTTCAGGGGTAGTGTTGCGGTCGGGCTGCTTATTTCATTTACATATTGACTGCATGGGTCCTTTCCATAATAATTCATACAGGCAGAAAGTTGGAGCCATTCAACTTCACAGCCTTTTTATGGCAGAAAGATTTGGGAGATAGTGGAGGGGTGGATAACAAAAGGCATGTTCTTCCTAAACTATATTACCCAGAGCCCCAGCACTGCGAGGCAGCCATGGTACCCACTATATCGCTCAGCTACACAGTTACGAAAAAGAAAAAAAATCTTAGGCTTTGGTCATTATAACACTTTATCATTTAAACTGCATATCACAAAAAGTGTCCGCATCCCATAGAGAGTTTCGCACTGAAAATTAAGATTATCCATTTTTTATGTCAAAATAATTAATATATAAGGGAGTTGGGCTCTACAGCTCCTCCGCAGGGTGTGGAAGTGAAAAAGGAAGTCTGACACACTTCCGTTGCTACCGGCTGTGAAACAGGGCCTCTGTGCACAGCCCAGCCTTTTGATGTGCTGTACAGTTTTAATTGGCAGCTCGCAGTCAGCCCCTTTCACAGCTCTCTGTGTAAAAGACAGCTGACCCGCTGTTCAAGGACTCCAGGTGGTTCAGGAGATTAGGAGCCTGAATTCAGCTCGGGAAAAGAAAGAGATAACCGCTGGAATCAGGTGAAAACTCCCTTGCTCTATTACATGGTCATTCTCTGATTAAACATGACAATGTTAGTTTAAAGTGTTAACCTTAAAGTGCATTGCCCACTTCTTTTAAATGTCCACATTTTTATTAATCCAAATTACTTACTGAATGTCTCTTCAGTATATGCACAGTAGGTTTTAGCCCTGTGGTCTCCCAGTTCCCCTGTCCCCGATTTACTTTTCACCTTCCTAACTGGACCATAGTCCAGGGCAGTGGGGCAGCTCAGCCACATTTGCTGCATGTGGCATTTAATCAGATTTTTAACAGCGTGGAGCCCAAACACAGGGTGGCAGGGAGAACACGAGCTGACCCCAGACTCCATCCACCCATTTTCTCACCACTCCTTCCAGTTCAGGGTTGCGGGGAGCTGGAGCCCAACCCTGGCAGGATGCACCCTGGGTGGGACGCCAGTCCGTCACAGTGTAACCGTGTCTCTCTTGTCTCAGTGGCTCTCCGTGTCTCGGTGTACCGATTTGGTGGGGGGTGAGTGTAGCCAGTAACGATGCCCCCTGTCCTCCTCCTCCTCTCCTGCAGGTGAATCTGAAGCGCCCATGCCCCTTCTGGCCGGACGACAGTCACTGTGCCATCAAGGACTGCCAAGTCGAGCCTTGTCCCGAGGTTCGCCTCCTCCTTTTATTTGCATGTGCTCCAATTTCTCAGGGTTTTGGTTGTGGTGGCCATTTGATTAACAAATAGCGGACTTGGACGGTTGTCTCCTCGCTAGTGAAAAAACTCAGGCTTGCTCTGGGTGAGAGAGACGGTGCTGGTGGAATACATAGACAGATGTGCCAAGATAGACAGATATATTAAACAAAATAGTGAGCACTGGCTTGTTAAGCCTACAGCACATAAGAACAAAGATGCATTTGATTAAAAGTTCCCCAGAACCATTATTTTTTTAAAAAGGTTTCATTTTTGATAGTTCCTTTGATACTGTAGAACAGAGTTGTTGAAATTTACAGCCTGGTGTCATGAAATATTCTCTGTAGCATGCACAGACATTACTGCAGTATGAAAAGATGATGCATTATTAATATTTTCATTATTTGTCCAGTGTTTGCACGCAAAGGTAGTTTCAGTTCTATGTAGCTATTGTCTGACATTAATATTTCCCTTCTCTAATCTGCTGTATATTTCTGTTGACAGAGTAAAGTTCCAGTTGGGATTAAAGCTGGAAACTACAACAAAGTAAGTTCTCTTCACTGCATACTGCAAAGTGAGGGCACAGGGCAGTAATCTATGCAGATTTTATTAGAATTTATATGCAAAAGCTACTGGTTTTTGATACTTGTTTTTTATTACTATTTTATATATTTTCATTTAGCAAATTATGCTGTTATGTAGTATTATTCAGTCATTGTATATTACATGGATATGCATTTAATTTAGGGGTGGGAAAAGCAATTTTGCGGGGTGTTCCTGAGCTTGTGTATTTAGAGCCCTTTGGAGGGATCTTGGGTATGCAGAATTTGATGACTATTAAATCTTGTCCAATACTGGACTTAAACAGTCTCTGTGCTCATCTATAACATATATGTGCTCATATATAACATATATTGTTTTTGGGCTCATTGTATTCACAATGAATGCAGAAAGACATGGCTGTGGCGGATAATTAACTAATGAGCAAGTCTTTTTGTGGAGTTTAACCATAAACAACTCTAATGATATTAATAAAGTACAGCAAACACCAGTTGGCTTTGAAAAGAAAAAAAAATATTTTAAGCCTATGGAAAACAGAGAAAAGGTATAATAATGAAACTGGCTATTTTTAGTGTTTGAGCCAGGTGTTGGTGAACTGTTCTTTCTCAGCTGGTTTTGTGCTTCTCACTCTTTGTTTGGGGTTGCTGTCAGCATTGCCTGTGTGTTGAAGCTGACTGAGTGAATGACAGCAGCTCAAGCTCAGTGTGGTCTTGGAGAGCAGTGCTGTATTACACTGTGTCAGGTAGCAGGAAATGTGGGAAAGCAAACTCGCTGCTAACTGTAGAAACAATGAACAGTGTGAACATAATCACTCCTTGTATTTAGACCCGTGCCTTTCACCCACAGGTGCTTTAATCTTAATGTTTAATCTTAAAGCTTTGCATATACTGTAGGTAGGAAACCACTTTATTTGGCTCTGAAAAAGATTGCTTAACCTGGTTAACGTGTGGAAGCCATTATGCACCAGCAGCCCTACGACACAGCACATTAGGTGGAGTGAGAAATTGTCTCACCAGCTAAATTAGAAGGAACGTATGGGGAGGCCAGACTATACAAGACCTGGGTTAGCTGGGACACTGGTGTTAATACCCCTGTTCTTGAGAACAGAATCTTAGTAGGTCCTGGGATCTTAGTAGTTTGGTTCTTGGTTTAACGAGCCTACCAATGAATGGCATGTTGTGCAGCACAATATTACCTGTCGTGGTACTTGGGTACTATTTTGGGAATTCTGATTATATCTACATTTAAATAAGCTTGAAGGTCTGGCATTTCCTATTAACTGAATATACTGAAAGTGGCTTTTCTTAAAAGTGCATGCGAGTGTCCATTTCCCCGAACAGGTTTGTTTGTCTATTGCCTGTAATGTGCTGGTTTGTTTGTCCTGTACTAGGGCCAAAGAACGGGGACATCTGTCCAGCTTAGACTCAAGGTCAGTTGCTGCACACTTTTAGAGTAACAGCTTTTTGTCCTTCCTGATGAGTCTGAGCTCTGCATGTTCTGAAAACAGATGTTCCCCCTTTACTGGTGAATCATATCACAGGGTGGAAGCCCTGCACTTAAGTTTGGTAAAAAAAAAAGTGTGAAAGTTGGTTCAGTTTCTTGGAATACATATCAGAAGTTTAGACAGCTCCCGAGTTCCCAAAACCCTGCTGTTCAGCCTGTATCGGTAAGCCTGCTTGCTATATTGGACAGAATCAAGTCCTGCATATGTATGTAAATCTGTAATACGCAGCAGGTGGAGTTGACATCATTGTCACGGCTCACTAATCTTACTGATGAAAAGCTCACAGGGACCAGCTTGGGCTGGTTTCTCTTTCAGATGTTTCCTGGTCCAGTGATGAAAAATGAAGAGTTTTGAGATGTTCATATGCATGGTGCCTGGGCAGCCCTACACTTTAAAAGCCCCATGGTTATATGCAGGGCTAGAACAAGCCCTCAGCTCATCAGAACTTTAATCTTGAAAGCACAGCTTCATGTATCTTGTCAGTACTGTTCAACGCTAATGTAGCTCATGAAGACTTTGCCTGTGGCAGGAGTTGTATTGCACTGTTTTTAGTAGCCAGTTTGTGGAGTCCTTTCACACAACTGGATCACATTCGAACATTTTACTTCTACTTTACCCTACTGTCTGAGTATCAGTTAATAAAACGTCGTAAAACTAAAGTTCAGTGTTTATCTGTGAGAATCTTCCACATTACCGAAATGTCTGCCTCTGAATTATTGGAAAGTGGATGGACATTAAATTATGATTGCACCCCTCATATTGATTTCTTTCGATTCATGATTTTTTTTCCTAGTCATGTTGCTAGGGGTCTTAAAAATCAGCTGTTCTGATGATCATTTTCCTTGAATAGACAAACAGGTATTAAAAACATAAGTTTGTGAAACATAAGTATTTCAGCACAAAAATTAAAATTTTCTCACACTTTCACTGAACTTTATAGAACCGTTTTATTAGTGTAGCATTATTTCAGAACCCCAGGTTGTTCTTTTGCTCTTTAAGAAGTTATTATGCCCCATTGTAAAGTGCCCTGGATGACAAAAGTAATTTCTGTGAAGGGTACTTACTCAGGTGAGGAGCACACAATTTGCTGGGAATTTCTCTGTGTAGGCTTAACCTTTTAGTACTTCTATGTGTCACAGGCCTCCAGAGGCAATTTTCATCTGTCATGATATCCCCTTAAAAATGTCTTTATAACTTTATAAGTATAGTCAGTAGAGGCCTGGTTCAAGGCTTAACATGAGGGTTAGTAGTGTAAAATAGCACCTTCTCTGGTTGCTCCTTTAGTTCCAGTTCTCGTTGGTGACACACAGCACTAAGCAAGGAAGCTCAATATTTGACTTTGTTCTCTACATAGGCTGCTATAGAGCAGTGGTTCTCAATCTTGGTATGTGTCGCCAGGACCAGACTTGTGAAGCACTGCTATAGAGGAACATGTGCTGCCTTCCTCAGGTCTCAGGTGGCCTGGAAAAATGCCCGTGGAGCCCAGCAATGTCCTTACAGCCAGTTTGTGGAGTCCTTTCACACAATCGGATCACATTCGAACATTTGAATGAAAAATTGCCAGCCGGAGCTAGTCTGGCCAGGCTCTGTGATCTAGGAGGCAGTCTCCAAGGGCTGTGGGAGGTGAGGCCTGCTGGAAGCTTGTGTTGTGATCGCCTGTCTTCTGGGTGCCAACCTGTCCTCTGAGAATCTGGTTCATGACAGGAGTGCAGGAAGATGTTCTCCGCCTGTCAAAACAAGATCTGCTAGCCAAAACATTCTAAATCGGCCTTCTCTCCAGCTGTCAGTCCAGACTATAGTTGGAGTCTGTGCCATTCTTCAGATATCCCGTAATGCAGAATGGTGTGGTTACTTTGCAGAGCTGGCCAGTTTTTGTGTTCACCCTCAGTAGATTATGCTGTGCTGTAGTATATGAGCGTGTTGTTTTGAGCAAGTTCAATTCACCACCTAATGAAGTTTGACTTGGTCCTTATATGATAGTTCTACAAAATAGTCTTCAAAATATAGGAATGCCAGTTAGTTTTTCACTATAATCCCAACAACCAGCAGGGAGGCTGTGCCCACACCTGAAGGGCAAACCTCCTGCACACTCACCTAGTGAACTGTTCATCTTTGTACTCCTGAGGCACAGAGCTGACGTCACTGTGAGAGTGGAGGAGCCTGGGAAGGGGTCACTCCTTCGCTGGGAGCCCCACCCTAGCCCTGGCAGTGCGCTGCCTGTTCGGGTCATCGTCAGCTTGCGGCTTGTCCCAAGCTCGGATCCAGGCCACGCGATTCTACCTGCCCTCAAAGCAAGTTCCTTTGCCAGTCAGGCCAAGCGGGAGCAGGCCCGTGTGTTATCTAATGATTATGTTAAACCTGTAAGGTCATAATTAGGTACATCTGCTCTTCCATTTGAAAGGACATGGATGGAATTATCTTCTGACATCTTCCTTTCAGTTTGCTGCGATTCCCCCCCAGCTGTCGATGGGTTAACAAACCAGCTCTTTGTGGGATAACGCTCTCAATTTGCTTTGGTTTGTTTTGATGTAGTATTCCCAGGCGGCGAATGCAATTAAGGAAATAGAAGACTGTGAACAGGCACATGAACTTGGAGCAATAAATAGCACACTGAGGTAAGAGAACGCTGTAGTGGTACAGCACTTGTTAACAAGTCCCAATCGTTTTGTCCATGTGGAATAAACTGAGTAACTACAGTAAATATTTTCGGTGAAAATCTTAAGTTTACCTTGTTGAATTAGAATATTTAATGTTGAATGGAGCATTGAGCTCAAAACAGAGCAGCAGTGGACAGTGTTCTTTATTTTAAAAAAAAGCAGTTTTAAAATGTTCTGTGAACATTAAAAAGTCTTTTGGTGTAGACTTCAGTCATGCTTTTTCTCTGCTGCTGCCGAGCATATATAAATATTTAAAGTGGTTTGATAAATAAATACATCAGAGGCATTGCAGGAAATCAATTCATCTTTCACATGATGAGAAATGTACATCTTTTTGGAATTCTTCCATCTTTCAAAGCTGAAGGAAGTAAATGTACATTAGCTAAAATATTTAAAATCTCATTCACAGACATTAATTGGCTTGGCAGTGTTTTTCTCAGGATGGTGTGCTGCTACCGTTCTAGTACTGAGGAGTGGCAGCACTGGACTGTTGCAGGTCTTCAGATGCATTCATGCACTTATTCCTGCACTTGAGTTGCATTTTGCTGCCATTTCATCCTTGAGATGATTTGTTGTTTGGCCATCGGCATTTTTCTCTCCATTTACCAGAGAAGTGCTTTGATTTGCAGCAGGGACATTATTCCATTCTGCCTTTTGGTGAAGCTGCTGTGTTTTGTGGTTTTGCCATACCCTGTTCCACACGTTGACACTAGAACAGCAAAATAAGAGGAGAAACGTATAGTTTTGTGGACTCTGACATGTTAGAATCTGTGGTTGCTGATGCTAAAATTAAATATGGGGAGCCCTGAGATCAGTGCTACTCC